TGACGGAGGCGATGATACAACAAACCTTCTATCGGGGCATCAATACTACAAATCAATGCATAGTCAATCAATTGGTCGGGGGTAATTTCATGAAGTTGCCTTATGACGAAGCTTGCGAGATTCTTGATGAGATGGCGGATACATCCTCCGCATGGCAAAGTAGAGCCAATGTTCCTCAAGGTGACCCTACGGTTATTCATTTGCATAAGGAATTACACGACCATGGGCAAGCTATAGCGGAGTTGACAACTACTATGAATCAATTGGCTAAGGCACAATTGCAACAAGTCCAAAACCCTCGCCAAGTGAATGCTATGGAAGGTGTTAGTATGCTTACCAACAAGAGAAGGCAAAGAAGGCAACAAAACCAAGGGAATTCTGAGCAATTTGGTGATGATTGTGATGGGTTTCAAAATGATGGCTATGATGAGCAAAATGAAGAGGTACAATATGTTAACAACTATCAAGGAAATAGAGGCAACTCTTCAAACCAACAATGGCGACCTCAAGGAAATTGGGGCAATCAACAACAAGGTGGTGGTAATTGGAACAATCACAACCAAGGTGGTAATTGGGGGAACAACAATCAAGGAAACCAAGGGAATTGGAATGGTAATAACAACAATTGGAATAACAATGGTCAAGGCGGGTGAAATAACAATGGAAACCATGGCAACCGGGGGCAAGGCTTTCAAAGGCCCCCGATGTACCAACAACCGAACAATCCACCTCCATTTCAATCTCAAGGATCTAGTTCTTTGGGTAATGATATGGGAAGAATAGAAATGATGTTCAAACAAATGATGAAGAAGAACCAAGATTCCGATGCTCAATTGGCTTCCCACAATACCTCTATCCGGAACTTGGAGGTGAAATTAGGTAAAATCTCTCAATCGTTGAACACTCGCCCTAAGGGTGCTCTACCAAGTGATACGGTAGTGAACCCGAAGGGTGGAAACAATCATGTGATGGCAGTTACAACAAGAAGTGGGAGAGGCGGTGATGTGCATGCCTCGAAAGATAAGCAAGTTGTGGATGATGATGTTGAGTTGCGGGAAAATGATGTACCTTTGATAGTTGAAGATGTGGTTGAGAATGAGGTGAACAAGGATGTGAGTATTGACATTAATGAGGCCGAGGTGGAAACTCAAGCTGCCGTGAACCCGTCTAGGGAACACGTGATTGACATGCCCGAGCCGGTGGTGCCCAAAGCCAAGGCACCTTTGCCTAGGCCACCTCTGCCTTATCCTCAACGGTTAGCAAAGCAGAAAAGTGAGAATCAATTCAAAAAGTTCATTGACATGATGNGGAATCAGTTACTTGAGGTGTTATTTACAATATGCAATTGGAATGACTAGATTTTGGCCATTTGGAGTCGGATACTCGTGGCAAAAGTGTGGTTTCGGGTTAACTTGCGCTTGTTCGAGGTAAGTGGCTTGTCTAACCTTGCGTGGGGGACTCTCCCCTTAGGATTGGTATTGTGATAATTGAAATGCCTTGTACGTGAGGTGACGAGCGCGTACTTGTGCTAATTGTTGAAAATCCTATTTTTCATTAAAATAGCCTTAAATTATATTTTCCTATCTTGTTTACACTACTTGGAATTTAAGCCTGTTGTTAGTCTAGAGAAGTATGTTTAATTGACTTAATTGATTTACTTGCTTAAAATGCCTTATTTGGATTATGTGCAACATGCTAGGCTAGCAGTACCTGTTTTACCTTGATTGAATTTAATTGTGTATTCTTCGTGTTGTTGCCTTAATATGAAATTTCCCTTTTCTGAATATTTTCTTGTTGTTGCTGCGTATTTACATTGGGACTACGGATGTGGGATTCCGGTAGCTCCTCCTTGTCTGTTTACTTTGGGACTGCGGGTTAGATTCCCGATAGATCCCCCTGCACATTTACTTTGAGACTGCGGGTTAGATTCCCGATAGATCCCCCTGCATATTTATATTTGGGGACTATGGATCGAGATTTCTGGTAGATCCCCCGCGCATTGATAGCTGGTCTACGGGTGGGATCCCGGGAGATCCTTCGGACACATATATGATGGACTATGGGACGGTATCCCAGGAGATCCACTGGATAGTTGTAATTGGGACTACAGGACGGTATCTTGGAAGGTTCCCCGGTTGTTATCTCTGTGTTGAGTTGTATTTCTTTCCGTGGTTTGTTTGTCTCTGTTCTAGTTGTTGTTGTTTCTTTCAATTCTATGTTATTCCTTACTGTTGCACTTATTTATACTGTTTTATTTTACACTGTTAACCTTGATATTTTATTTATCCTCAGTAGGGCCCTGACCTTCCTCGTCACTACCCAACCGAGGTTAGGCTTGGCACTTACTGAGTACCGTTGTGGTGTATTCATGTCCTTCCTGCGCATGTTTTTCATGTGCAGATCCAGGTACTTCGACTCAGTCTTACTACCCCTGAGGCGAGGCGACTGCTATAGCGACTTCGAGGTATATATGCCGCGTCCGCAGACCTAGGAGTCTCTTTCTATTCTTGCTGTTTAGTATTAGCCCTTCTGTATCTCCGTTCTTGTCAGACATTCTGGAGTTGGAGCTATGTAGTACTTCTTAGCTTGTGATTCATGGGTTTCCGGGTCTTGGATTTATGGGTTTATTTTTGAGAACTTGATATTGTGTATGCCGAGCGGCATCTTAAATACTGTTTTATTCGGTTATTTTTAGGTTTAATCATTTCTTCCGCAAATTGTTTATTTTTCGCATTTGTTAGGCTTACCTAGTCATAGGGACTAGGTGCCGTCACGACAGTTCACGGAGGGAGAACTGGGGTCGTGACATTATGGTTGAGGAACCCCTCCCTGACAGAAGCACTGCTAGGGGTCCAAGAGATCCTCGTGAACTCTGAAGTGTTAGTGGTCCATAGGGGAACCACATATGTAAATATGGTTCACCCTAGGCCCATACGTACTGATCTTAAGTAATCTTCATGTGATTCGCATAAACAAAATTTGGATTTGCTATATTTCTTTAGACTCCATTCATAATTATCATAAACATTATCTTGCTTTAATATTTTTTTGCACATGCTAATTAGTTTTTTCTCTTTTCTTCGAATGCATTACTGGGCCTACTGAGTTCATTGAGAAATTAGGCCCAAATTTAAAGAGCTGGGCTGCCTCTTTCTCGTCCGTTGAAGCCTGCTGCCGCTGCCGCTTAGAGCCTAACTGCGCCTGTCTGATTCGTCAACCTATTATGAGAGTCCAGCTTTTCCTTCCATTTATATGAAATCTAGACACGCGCGTTGTACGTGTACCTTCTATCGCTTAGTAAATAATTTAAAATGTCACACAAATATTAATATAAAAATAAATATTTGAGTTATACAATAAAATTTTAAAAAAAATAAATAAAGGAGGAAACCTTACTCCACAAAAGTGCTTATGTTTTATTGCTTGAACTTTCATTAAGGATAAACTTGAATTATTATGCTGACGTTCTATTTAGCTATTTTAGACAGATCTAAGCAACATCGATTTTGCATGCAGATAAATTAAAGCAGACTATCATTTGTTATATATGAGGTGAAACTGCAACTTGGATTGTGTATTTAGTAAAAACAAAAAGAAACAATAATAATATAAATTTCCTATAGTCATAGAAAAATGACTAAAAATAAACCATAGCTACTCAACATCCTGATCATGTGCAAAGTAAAGTTATTTCATATCAGAAGAAAAATCTATTAGATAACCGAGTTAGCTAATCTTTAGGTGCAAGATTTCACCTTCAAATGTTGTTAGAACTTAGGTCTCAGAATCCATATGCAAATCTCTTGAAATTATAGGTAGAATCATAATTTGCTGTATAAGTTGGACATATTCTTCTTAGATAAGAAAATAATTTTGTCATCTAAAAAGGAAAAAAATGTACTATGAGATCTAACCAATAGAGTCATCTCAAGATGTCTAAAAAGTAGCAAATATAGAGTGAATTCAAACCTCTAAAGAAAAAAAGGCTCCAAAGCAGCTAAAACAAATCACATATAGAAGACCTAAAAGAAAAAATTATTGCATGAATATCTTAAATATATATTTACATAATCACATTCTCGATCAAAATGAATACATGCCGATCCCATAACCATCATATTAGCAATATTTTTAGTAGCAGATCTGCATATCTCATTATTAAGTGGAAATATGTCTAAAATCTTAATGACCATTACAGTTGCTTGTGGCCAAGACAAGTAATCTTTGTACAAGAAGATAGCAGTTTGTTCCTTTAGCATCTGTCATGGCAAAGAGTTGGCGAACAAAAGAAAATAAAACTTACTATATTCTTTCTTCCAAGCTTGACAATTAATTCAATTGATAGTGACTAAAATATTAAAACTAATATAAGTGCGGGGTAGACAATGAAAGAATGAGAGAAGAGACATGTCAAAATGGCTAACACGAATCTTCAAGTTGGTGAAATATTTCGACTCCCGCAACCTATACCAAAGTTTTAATGGAATTTAAGTATCACCAAATTTGAGTTGGTCCTAATATGATCTATCTACTTTATTATTTTCAAAGGGGAAATTTACTATTTATATTCTATTTTAATTGAAACTATTCACTTTTGTAGGAACCCTTATAAGAATAAGATTGAGTTTAAAGGATAAAATGATTTTAATTTTCAATTTTAAGCTTCACGCTCATAGTATAGTACCATGATATGATGATATCATGATGTTAGTCAATGAGGACCTAATAAGGCAAAGATGGTCTCTGTCCTGCCTCCTTTATTATAAAGTAAATTATCTAACTTGATGAGTTAAAGGTATTTCTACGATAATATGAAACTTTATTAACATACTAAAAAAGGGTAAAGTAAAACTGAATAAAATATTAGCTAGGCATGCATGGAGCTTGTGAGCTGCTGCTTCCACTAAATAAGTTCCACGTAGACTTCACATAGGGGGTTAACTCTATATAACAGAGTACGAACGGGTAGAACCCAAATTCTCACCCAAAAAATAGGCGACTTTATTTAATTATACATGGATTATATATATATATATATTTATAGATATTCCAGTGATTTAGGTTAATTCTTGTTAATTAATTTAAAAGCTAAAAAGCCCATCAATATTACAGGGTTACATTAAAGAGCAGCAGCCCTTAGACGTGAAATTTTTTGCACATAAAACACGAAGGAAGGCGAAGATCAGAGGAAAAAAAAAAAACTTTTAGTAGTGTCTGTGGAGGCGCAAAGAGAGAATTGTGGAGGAAAGGAAGAGGAGAAATAGAAGAGGCATTGGCGTGGCTAATAAAGAGGGACGTAAAAAAGAGCAGTCTTTGACACAAGAATTAGTAGAGAGGCAGACATTGTGAAATTCGACCGCTGATTTGAAGTTATGTTTTGACACCCACTGCCTGCCTAACTCTGTCAATGGCCATCATTGAAGAACCCATCAACATCAAAACTCCTCCCAAACTCCAAGTTGATGAAAAAGTCGAGGTATGCTTCTTTTTCATGTATTGGTTCTGGGTTTTGGATTTCTTTAATTTCGGGTTTGAAATTTGTTTCATAACCTTTCTTCCATGATTCTTTTTGCCGGCACATTCCCTTAAATTTTAGGCAAACTATATCACTATTGGTATTAAGCTGTATTGTGATTGCATGCGGGTTTTCTTTACTGTAGTGAAAAGCCTTGAACTAGTAAAAACTACTAAATGAGTGATAACTGACTTTTGTTTTCTTCCTATTTGGGTTTTTCTTTGGTACATTTATACCGTCAGCATCAATGTGGTCAAAAGATTAAAAGGTTTACGGGCGCTTTCTGTATTTTTGTTCAGTTACCTGTCAAAAAAATTTAGCTTTCGCCTACCACTGTTTGTTCATCGGGGGGTCTCGAAGGAGGAGACAGGGCTTTTTTGTTTTAATGTGTTTTTTGAAACATTATTATGGTTTTTATGCAGGTTAGGAGCATCGAAAATGGATTCCTGGGTTCATGGCATTTGGCTACCGTGATTGCTTCTGATTATTTGGTTCGTCGTGTGCAGTATGATCACCTTCTATGTGATGACGGTTCCATCAACTTGATAGAGTCTGTGAATGTTTCTCCCATGGTTGATGGGATTATTCCTGCTGATAAGGTGCCAGTTACCTATCGTGGTATCATTAGGCCTTTGCCTCCTCCAATTCAATTTGGGAGATGGGCTCTACCTTATGGACAATGTGTTGATTTATTTTATCAGGATGCTTGGTGGGAAGGTGTGATTTTTGACCATGAAGATGGCGCCGAGGACCGGAGAATTTTCTTTCCAGATATGGGTGATGAAATGAAGGCTCAAGTCGCCAATCTACGTATAACTCAAGATTGGGATGAGGTTTCGGAAGAATGGAAGCCTCGTGGTAGCTGGATTTTTCTTGAAATAATTGAGGAGATTGAGCCTCTGCACCCCCTTTTAGTGTCGGTGAAACAAATTTGGTATGAAGTGCGGGAGAAGAATGGCTATGAAAATCTTAAGGAGTGGACATCTACTTCGAGGGATATCTGGAGGATCTTGATCAAGGAAGTTGTGCTTGACAACACCATGTTAACCGTCAAGCAAATATTTTATGAGTTGAACTCTTCACCGGACTTTGTAGAGGGAGGCCAATTGCTAGAATTTTCAAAACCTGCTCTCCAGGCTATACTGAATGTTGAAACATATTTTGATAACTCGGCCATTGTACCCTTTATTGAAGCCATATGCAATTCAGATAGTAGGGAAATGGTGTCTATGGATCAGGATGTGTCATGTCTTCAGCCTGTTGAAAAGCAACTTGTTTCAGACGGTTTTGCACCAATCGCGGAGGATGTTCCACTGAGTGGTAATGTTATGTTTAGCTCAGTTCTGCCAAGACAAGAAGAACAACCATCTGTATCACCTACTGCTTTGTCTATTTTACATCCCCCTAAAAATGAAATTTCTGCTAATTTCTCAATTACTAAGGGTGAAAGATTTAGTTTCACAGACTTTGAGCCTTCCAATGAAATAGATTCTAGAAAGAGCAAGCGACTTGAATGGAAGACCATGGACGATATAGCTGAGTTTTGTCCTGATGCAATTTCTAAGTACAATGAGAATCAGATGTTGAACGATAGGTCACTCTTACAAAAACTTAAGAAGCATTTGTTGTTTTTAGGATGGAAAGTTGAGCTAGCAAAGAGTTTCCAAACTAGGACGCGGTACATTGCTCCCGATGGAAGGATATTTCACTCACTTCGTCAAGTTTGTAAGATATTGGAAAAGTCAGAAACTTTTGCAGAAGGCCAAAAAACTTCGTATGATAGTTCACTTGATGACCTCAAGCGGTCTACTTGGCTGGCAAAAGCACAGCCCTCTCCTTCTCAAGGATCAATCATTGATCCTGAATTCAACCCTCAAGCTGTAATTGATTATTGTTTTTCAGCAGACAATCCTACCTATGACAATTTGAACCGTGAGCGAAAGAGTTATATGATCCTGAAAGCTAAGCAGCACCTAGTTGCAATAGAATGGAAATTATATTATCATTGGAAAGGAAACAAAAGAGAATTGCGGTACCGTTCTCCTAATGGAAAGATTTTTAATTCTCTTCTAACAGCATGCAGAGGGTGTGTAGAGCAGTTGGAAGCTGAGGGTCAGTTACTTGAATTAATTTCTCCATCAACTCTGGAATTCCAGGGAAATTTAGCACCTGGGAGGAATTCATGTAAGAAGTTATCAACGGAGACAGTTTCTGTCATGTCACTTCCGAAAGAACCTGCTCAACTTCACAAAGTCAAAGTTCGTGAAATCAGCATAAGAAGAAAGAAGAGGAGTAATCATGGTGACAGAAACGAGATATACGCAGGTGGCTGCAACGTGCTGAATAAAGGAAATGAATCCACATCTTTAAGTAGAGTAACAGATTGTATAGAATTTCGGTCTTCAGCTCGTGTGCTGCGATCAAGCAAAAGAGCTCGGCAGGCAGCTATTTCTTCTTCCTTGTATCATACACCTCGAACAGTGCTATCTTGGTTGATAGACAATAATGTGGTTCTGCCCCGAACCAAAGTGCAGTATCGTGGGAAAAAAGATGGTCGTCCAATGGCTGAAGGGCGGATCACTCGTGAAGGGATCAAATGCAGTTGCTGCCAAACAGTTTATGGAATTAGTAACTTTGAGGTGCATGCTGGAAGCAGTTGTCACAGACCTTCTGCAAACATATTTTTGGAAGATGGAAGATCTCTTCTTGAGTGTCAACTGCAGATGAAACTCAAAAATAGTGTAAGACGCACGAATAATAGACCACGTTCGTTGAAGAAGGACAGTCATTTGGGCACAAACGACTACGTGTGTTCTGTGTGCCATTATGGAGGTGAATTACTTCTCTGTGATGAGTGTCCATCTTCATTTCATTCTGGTTGCCTTGGAATGAAGGTAAAAAATTTCTTCATTGCTTTATCCTACTTCTGTTTCTTTGTCCTCTTCTGGGTCCAAATTTCAATTATATTGGTTAGACAGTGGGAGGGGGAGAGCATGTTTGCATATTATCTATACACCTGGTTTTGATACCAACTGTGTCCTATTGCTTAAACAGGAGGTCCCAGATGGTGACTGGTTTTGCCCATCATGCCGTTGTGAAATGTGTGGCCAGAGCAGATTTGATAAAAACAAAGACCACTTTACAGACAGCAGTGTACTTATCTGTTGTCAGTGTGAGCACAAGTGTAAGTAGCTATTCATGCTTAGGCATACAGAATTTTATGAATTTGTGGATATTACTCTCTTTTGAGTTACTGATGTTGATCAATTTTGTACAGATCATGTTCAATGTGTGAGAAATAAGGGTCTTCAAAAGCTGGATAATTATCCTGAAGGAGATTGGTTTTGCGACAAGAGATGTGAGCAGGTATTTGGTTTCCTGCCTAACACCGGGATACCAAGCATTGACATCTTGAGTAGAGAGTACAGTTGCCATTTCTTGTCAATTGTTTCATTGAAAAGTTATTCTAGTGTAGAATGCAGTTGACCAGTTGGGTCGTAGAAAGTTTTCTTTATTGATTTTCCCATATTCTCAATTCTGGGGAAACGTTTAAGGCATGAAAAACATCAAGTTCAACTTTTTAAAATAAATGATTGGCTACAGATGACAAAAGTTTCTCTCTCTAAATAGAAGTCAAATTGAGTTATAGGAAAGAATAAAAATATGCACCACTATTCTTTTTCTGTCCATTGAATTTTATGTTTAAGAAACATTTTCTCTGAGACAACTTAATTTCTGTTGCAGATATGTTTGGGTATCCGCCAACTTCTAGGAAAGCCAGTTATGGTGGGAGTTGATAACCTCACTTGGACTATGTTGAAATTCTTAAAAGCTGATGATTTTGATTCTGATGCTGCTGATGATGAGTCCATACTGGAGACTTACAGCAAACTTAGTGTCGCTCTGGATGTGATGCATGAATGTTTTGAGCCTGTCAAAGAACCTTACACAAGGAGAGATCTTGTGGAAGATGTTATCTTCAGTAGATGGTTATCTCCAGCTTTTCTGCAATTCTTGAGTAACCATTATTGAATTATGTGCAAATATTTGTGTTCAACTACAAAATTATGCAAACTAAAATAATGCCTTTAATATGACACTTTCATTACTGACACACTCTCTCAATAAGGGTTAGAGTAAAGCTCCTGAGCAAAAATAAGGATTAGAGTAGAGCTTTTTTTACCAATCATGAACTTAATTGCCTTTTAGATCTACCACAATTAGAAGTAAGTTGAAAATGCCTTTATTACTTTTAACTATAGATGACATGGTATATCTCAACTTGAATACGGAGCCACATTAGTTCCTAAGTAGTAGTACCTAGCTGATGTTTGAGCATGGCTATTCGGTTCTCACCAGATGTCAGATTGTCTTGTGGGTTTACCAAGCAAATGTATTATTTATCTCTTGAGTTACTTAGACACTAGACACTTCTTTCAGAGATTTGTATAAATATGCTTTAATTATTTAGGCTCTGATAAAAGTTGGAATCTGAAATTGCAGGTCGGAGCTCAATCGTTTAAATTTTCAGGGGTTTTATACTGTGCTTTTGGAAAGCAATGATGAAGTGATTTCAGTAGCGACTGTAAGGTATCCTTTAACCATTATATATTATTTATATCATTCAAGTATAGTTCTCTTCTTTCTATTTCAGTATTGTAGTATTTAACATATAAATACTAGTTAGGAGATTTACAGATTTCTCCTTTGGGGAAGCGGATTTGCATCAAGCACGACTTATGTCACCTGTCATCGGGGAATCCTCACGAAGTGGATGAATCCCCTTTGTCCACAGTCTAGAATCCTCTAGATGCAGAGAACTCCTCCAAACCCTAGCCGTTTTATTTCTCATGGGAGACAATCCCTCTTAAACACCCATAATGGGTTTATATTGGCTAGCTTTAGGGTTTTACGTGGACTCGTGGAGGAATAATTAATGGGCTTGTGGGTCATCTAGCACCCCTTATGGGTGGACCCAACCCATTAATATTTTCCAGCAAGTTTAAATCTCCTTAGTCTTAAAAATTAGTTGAACAATATTTGTATTCTTTAGAAAGTAAACTGACAATTTTCCTGCTCATTTCAAAGGATTTATGGAGAAAAGGTAGCCGAGGTTCCTCTTGTGGCAACACGATTTCAGTACCGCCGACTAGGAATGTGTCGCATCTTGATGAATGAGCTTGAAAAGGTTTGCATCTATACCTTCTTTCCTTTTCCTTGCCTTTTCTTCTTCTGGGGAGGGGACAGAATAGTTATTGCTGAGAGAGTGTACTTAATGGATGTGTTTAAAAGATCCCAAGAATTATTTAATTAGGCAGGTATGTTCATGAAAACTATAATTTGCAGGAAATCTTCTTTGATTTTCTAGTCATATGCATCTTTCCTTGCCAGGGCTGTATAATCAATATTTTCAAGGTTATGTATTCGAGTTGACTGGTTGGGGACATCGGATAGTTCTCCTTATCAGAAACATGCAATTTATAGGAGAAAAACCTTTAGTCAGTCTTAGGGTTACACAATGCACAATTATGCTACATCTAGTTTGTTTAACAGCAAAGATGTCAAGTTCTTGTTACCAATCTAAACAAAAAACCCTCAATTCTACTAAGAATAAGTGATTGTATGGGGCATATCACAGGGGGAATTGCAATGGTCCTGATAGCTGTGGCTATTTTTATGGTATTCTTTCTTTGTCATGATACAACAACAACGACCCAGTAAAATCCCACAAAGTGGCGTCTGGGTTCTTTGTCATGATACTGAAACAAAAACATAAAACCTTATAATTTCTCTCAGAGTCAGCCGCTGTGAACTGCCAAGCTTAACATATGAAGTAGTCTTAAATATGGGGGTCTGTAATGTGCAGGTAGAGGCTAATGATGAACATGCTTTGACATAGTGTGAATATATTTATCTGATCTGGTTGTGTTTCAACTAATGCTATTTTGTTATTTGTTCCAGAAACTCATGGAATTAGGAGTTGAGAGGCTAGTTTTGCCAGCTGTTTCCACCGTGCTAAACACATGGACCACTTCATTTGGTTTCTCAGTGATGAAAGAATCTCAGAGACTGAACTTCTTGAATTACACTTTCCTTGATTTCCAGGGTACAACAATGTGTCAGAAACTCCTTCAGGATATCCCCTCAGTGGTATCAAGTGGATCAACAGGTATATAGAACTCTTCATTTACTATGAAAGGAGATGGAAATTTAATCTGCTGACTGAAAATTTTTCTTTATGCAGAAGCATATCAAACTCATTTTGAACACATAAACAGCAAGGACAATGTTGAGTTGGATGGAAACAGTGCGCTTTCTGACGTCTTCCAAGCTGCGCTAAGTGAGAGGAGTGAAATTGTGGACCAAGGATCTGCACAGTATGTTTCCTCCCTTTTTTTCTCCTGTTTTTAAAGAACTGAAGTAGGGGAATCTTAGTAGCTTAGTTGGTTGGCTTCTTGATAAGGGTTCAATTCCCCACCTTGTAATCCCCTCCCTCATTTCCCCTTGCCCTACCCCCTATATATAATCAAAATTAAAAATTAAAAAAAAAACTGAAGAAGGGAGTAATCAGAGAGCTATAAGGTTCAGATCATTCAGAGTTTAACATGAAAACAGTAATAAGCTTTTGGTAACTCATTCAAGTTTGATAATGATGTCGTTGGGAGGCTGATCATGGTAACAACATAGTAATGTGTCTCAGCTAGTCCTTCAATTTAAGGTGAGGGGGTAGGGATGTGCTCTATTGGGGTTGAAAGTCCTATACTTTGGTATGTCCAGGGATGACATCATTTTTTTTAAAATTAACACCCAGCAACTGGGTACTGATCTTATAACCAAGGCAAATAGTGTTTATAACATAAGCCATCTGCCTTCAAAAGATTGACTGAAGCACCTGCTCTTTCCAGTCAAGATATACAAAATTTACATCAACTAACAAAAAAATTAGCCTTATCACAATGTTATGTACGGGATGACCTATCATTGATTAAGTGGTTTTGAGTTTTAGAAAAACAATATATGGGACGTGATTGATTCAAATTTCTATTAATTGAGAATAAATCACAATCAGGTTGTATTTGAATGTGAGGATGCTTTTCTCAAAAAAAAAAAAGGAAGAAAATGTAGAAAAGACGGTTTTATGCATGAAAGTAGGAGTTATCTTAATGAAAGAATGTCTATTTTGTTGGTCTTTTTTCTTGGTTCTGCTGTAATACTTAAGCAACATGGTCATTGAGGATTCATATAGCCAACCCGACATCTTTGGGAATGAGGAGTTGTTATTGTTGTCGTTGTCGTGGTAATACTCAATTACTTATGATTAGGCTCACTGCAAGGAAAATGTAATAAGTGTTGAATTTGGTAATGACATATGATTAAGCCAATCAAACCCACTGACCCCAACCATCCACAGTATGTAAAGGAGGAAAAAAAGCTGTGTACTTGGCTTGTCGCATCAGATTAGCTATGGCGATTTTCAATTTTGCTTCAGTTGGTGAAAATAACTCATTGTGGTGCTTTTAAGAATTCGAAAGAAATAGTGTTTAGCTAAAAAGACTTCTCAAGTGAGTCTACTCCATATTGGAACACACGCACAGACACTGAGATACTACTGAGTGTATTACAGGTATGCCCATAACATGGTGCATACACTTTCAGATGTAAGATATAGAGTTGGATTTACTACCCATTGTCTTTTATGTTTTTACATTTATTCTTCAAAGAGACAGGAGGATATGAAATAGGGGATTAAAAAGTTTAGCAAATGAACGTCATATAAAAAAAATAAACGTCTTATTTATTGATCTACCTTTTGTATAAGAAAGTTGAGTTGCAGAGAGCTGTTTGTTGTTGGATTTTGGATTGTTCAGCGAAAAAGGTCAGGTTTGATTTTGGTTTTGGAACAGCAAACAGATTAGAATCCAATTGCCCACTTAGAACTTGATTGTGTTCTTCTGCTGTTTGTTGTGTCAAAACCATGACAATTTCTTTCCGTCCTGGTATAACTTCATAGAGCATTGAATAACATTCTTTTTCTTATATACCAGCAACAAGAATATTACTGACTGTTGCACTATTTCCTCAGTACACCTGGAGGATGTGAAACCTGTAATACGGATGTTCCAGCTCCCCTCGTTATTGCGGTACTTTTCCTTTGCTCAGAACATTTTGTCTAAGAAAATTTTCTTACCCTCCAGATCCTCATCTTAAGTGTAATTTTTTATGGTCTTTGAACAGGCAAACCAACAAGCTCGTCTTGGCTGCCTGCCTTGCCAGGATGAAACTAATCTGCAATACCGAGCTGAAGCTACTGGTAGTAATGTTTTTGAAAAAGCAGCTAGTGTCGAATACAAATATTACAAGCGTAGAAGAAGATATCAGCCCGTGGAAGCTAAGCTGGTTTTGGAAGGGGTAACTGTCTAGTAAGCTGGTAAATTATGCAAAAAAGATGGCACAACCACAGAACTGTGACATCTTCCAGGATACTTATTTCAAAGGCCTAAAATCTTTTGCTTCGTTAACCTTTTCTTTCCTCCTTAAAGGAGAGGAAGAGACTTTAAGGGCTGTTGGTCTCCCACTCGTATATATTCATGTACAGCTGACTATCTCTAGGTAACCCTTTAGCTAATCAAGATCTCTTTTTTTAATCCTGAAAGTGCAAATGTGCAGAACCAAAGTCCACGGCTGGCAAGTTTGAATGTCACGCCGCGAATATAATTTTTGTCCAGAGCCAATACATTTGACCGCTGATCATATAAAAGCACAATGTTTGAGAAAATTACTGGTTGAAACATGCAATCTAGTTTGGCACATCACCTGGGATAGCGAGGGGCAATCTACTTGCACATTCTTGTTGATCCGGAATCATGAGCCTTGCATCTTTCGTGGCAACAAGTAGAGGAAGAGAGCGGTATAGGAAGAATGAGGCAAGGTAATGTAAGGCAGTCCCAGATTGAACCGTTGGCTGGCTTTAAGTCAAAAGCCACATCTATATAAAGGCTTTCTCTATCATTCTTCTACTCTACCTTTCTGCCAATTCTTCTTCGTTTTTATATACATTGCTATTCTTCTGACAACTCCTTTCTATTTATTGTATTTAGTTCTTGTGGTAGAAGAAACCAATTAATCATTTGCCTAATAGTTTCTTGGAAACACTTTGCCTACACTCGTTCCATGTCTTTTATAAAATTCTCTGGCATGATTTCACTCTTAGATTACTTCCTATAATAAATTTAGGCTAGTAACATTCCAGTTCAGTGAAGTCTTCTTTGTTTTCCTAAACCATACCAAGATATGGAGATACTTGAAAAATTGAATGGTATGAACAACAAGCATTGGAGCATTAAGATTATGTATCGATCAGCAATTTGAAGGTCTATTATGTTTGCCGATGGATAGCTTGTTGATTCATAACAAAAATGGCTTGGGATTTGTTTTTCAAACACAGCTTCATGATCAAGTTCGTTATAGATCTTGCATTTTGTAGGTAGGTAGTTTTCCTTGCTTTAAGTCTTGTGGTTGGTTGCCAAGATTTCTTCAACCATACATCTTGCCTCATAAGCCTCCATTGCTTTATGCCCGCAAGATATTTAGCAATTATGCTAAGGTAATTTTGGACAGATCCTTTATTTTTTCTAAGGTAGTTATGGATGTTTCATATCTTTCAAGCATCATCATGAGAATTTTTTTTAACAATGCCACGCACTTACCTTGTTAAAAATGTCAAGCAATTGATCTGAGTATTCTTTGATGGCCTGTCACGACCCAAAAAATGTTACCTAGTCGTGGTGGCACCTAATCTAACATGCTAGGTAAGTCAAATAACATATAACATAACTCGAATGAAAGATTATCAATAAGCAATAAATAAGATGACTGAAATCCAAACAACAATCCCAAGGATTGGTAGTATTGTTACGATCTAAAATCCACCAAAGGCCGTGATGGCAGCTAACTCGCTCGATAGGCAAGCCAACATACAACAACATCCATAAAATTCAATTATTAAGCCATTAACTGTTTCGTAATATAACTAACAATGCAGAATAAGTTTCAAATCAATAATCATGAGTACATAATCCATGACAGGGTTTAAACACGATCACCACTGTCTAACAATTGCCCAATATCCGGCGTCACTACATCACGAGCATCTAAAAAGAGTAAGTAATGTCAACTGAACAAAACATCAATCTGAAAAAGAACACATAGACAGAAATAGATAAGTAGGGAAGGGAAACTCCATGTGCTTTAAAATGGATCAAGCATATCACCTCACCACGAAGTCTCCAATATAGTGCTCCGGCTTAACTCAATGGTACCGCTAAATACTAGTCTCAGAATCTGCACAAAAATAAGTAGAAGTGTTGTATGAGTACAAAATATCGCAGTAATTAGTAAGTATCAAGTCTAACCTCGAAGAAGTAGTAGCGAGGGGTTGCTAACCATCCAATAATCAGGTGAAACATAAATAATATACGGAAATAAGCATGCAATCATCAAATGAATACGACAGCTCAATAAAAACAATTCTCACATGTTGTTCTCCGAAACTAAAGAACTTTGGAAGAAGGTTCAGGGGATGAAAAGGCAACCCTCGTATGATTTGTGTATGATTATGTACAGCCAAGACTCGATAGAAAATGTGATGACAGTTTATGAAAAGTAGTAATAAATAATTCTGATAGACATCTAATAATATAGGTGATAAAGCATTAAACATATAGTAGCAAGTTGTGAAAGTATATAAATTAAATATGTAATGAAAGTAAAATAATTAATCTAATTAGAGAATATAAATAATCATCCTCAAGTGTTAGAATTAGAGCAAATCCGCTAAGATCAGAACTTGTTGTCCCCAGCAGTGTCGTCATGCTATTGCGCTCTATTTTACACTAGTTAAGATAGGATTCAACATAATGCTAATTCCGTGGTTCATAAAGATAAGGAGTCGCCACCTAATATTTAAGGTATATCATGGTACCGATGAGTCGAATAAAGATCAAATCTTAATAGTCCGCTAAACCAGTGAGATTCTAGGTAAGGAATCAAGTTATTCTAAATGGAAGGTGTGAGGTGTGAGCACCTAATTTTTAAAAATCAAATTCTAAGTGGCGAGTATGAAAAATAAAATAATCCCTATTTCAAATTGTCACTTTTGGGGTAACCCATAATAATCTATATATATCTTTTGGGGTAAAAAAGGGTGTGACATGAGACATCCCTTAAAATCTATCTAAAGATAGTTCCTTAAATTTAATCTAATTAGTGGGGAAAAGATTGTTTATGTTCTTTGATCACGCCCAACTATGCCTTATAAAAAGAACAATGCGGTCGTTGCAAATATAATCCGGTTTACAAGTCCGAAGTCGAATCCCACAGAGAACTAAGGTTTAGCTACAGTTGTTCACTATCACCAAGAAAACAAGCTTGAACAATTCCTAACTTATAGATATTAAGATTCTTCTGTTTAACTAATTAACTAACAAATTAAAATAGTAAATTAACAACTAACGATACTGAGGGTTAGAGAAAAGATTAAGGAGGTCTAGAGTTATGATTTCTCCAATTGTCGAAATCCTTCCCGCTATGTCTTCTATAATTTCGCCTAAGTATTCTCTACCGATCATGAGCACTCTTATTACCGTAAATCTCTCTCGAGTAATTACGACAATTTACTAGACGCACTCTCCCGAGCTACGCTAGCTGGCTTTTAATACAGCTCACTTCAGATCGCACCCAAGGCTTTGTTATCCCTAATCCCCCCTTTAAACCCTCGGTTATTGATCCCTCATATACTCTGGGAGTGGTGTTGTTCAACAATTACCTAAATATGCACTCTCTCCCGAGTTATTCATACTAAATAGGCACAGCTAATTGAGAGCTCTTCAATCAACCAGAATATAAACGTAGTTGAACAAATAGAGAAAAGCTATGGCTCAATTATATAAAAATATAACAAGAATTTATCCTACAAAAGATTCTATCAAACTCTAGATAACAAATTAGCTATTCATAATAGTATGTAAAACTACAATACTAAAAGTCATAACCAACAATGAAAAATAGGAAGAGGAAGGAAAAAACTCGTAGAAGAATTCTCCGCCTTGCATTCAATGTGTTCTTGCCTCCAAGGGTGTTGTCTAACCCTAAAGTAGTGTCTCTCCGCCTCCTTAGATCTAATTTGTGTCCAAAATATGTCCTCATTTCTTCAAAATAGGTTTAGGACCCCTTTTATACAAGGTGGAATAGTGTAGGGCCGAAACAAAATTGTCCCGGGCGAAATAGGACTTCTTTTTGACGCCTGGAGCGGGGCGACCGCGGCCAAAACGCGGTAGAACCGCGGCCAGACAAGTTCTCTGATTTTCTGCCGCGGTCAGTTCCGTGGTTGCGGTTTCGACCGCGTTTTTCACCCTGTTCCATTTGGAATTTAGACAAACGTAAAACATGAAAGTTGTAGCCCTTTGAGTTAGCTTTCCAACCATATATTGTGGAGACCAAATGGAGTTCTGAACAAAAAGTTATGTCTATTTTACTAGACAGTGTGCAATATGCCTCCTCAAGTCTTCGTTCGTACTTAATTATCAAATTTGACCCCCGAACACGATCCCGGCTTAATTCCTTGAGCTTTTACTCAGACTTCAAAGCTTCAGATCACTTAAATTCATTCCATGACATCTATATAGCACGGAATCACACCTACAAGGCATAAAACACACAATTAGTGCAAAACACTAGCGATTAAAGTGCAAACTCAATTAAAGTGCAGTAAATTCGAGTGTAATAATCGACTAAAATACGCAATTATAGCCTATCATCAACACCCCACACTTACACCATTGCTCGTCCTCGAGCAATCAAACTACACTTTTTTATAGACACAACCTTTTTAAACAATTCTCCTAACTCATCACACCAAGAGTATTTAAAATAGACTAAGCACAAAAGCGTAACATCTTCACCTCAAAATTTGACTCACAAGTACCACACGTTATTCACAACTCACCCACTTACTCTAATATAGAGGTCACTGACATTACCTTTCCTTCATGAATCAAGTGCCCTCACACAACAAAAGAGAGTAGTTCCACACAATAAAATTTACGAACACTTAGGAACTCAAGATAGAAAGAATTCACTCACTCTCAGAAATAACATTCATATGCCACAAAAGATGCACCATAAGCTTGCCCGTAGTGTACTACTCCACTAATCGAGCTCATTCAATCTAGGATCAATTAGGACTTTATTTGGTTGTAATGTAGGCTACGGAACGGGTACGATACATTTAGATATAAGAGTGACTACACCTCCCTAAGCACTTTAATACATACATTTTAACATTTAAACCCCATACTTATGTCAAACCAAAATTCCACCTTCACATCAATGTAAATTACCCCATTCTTCTTTAAGCACACTTACGTCAAGAACCACCACTTATCAAGAATTTTTTTTTTACAACAATCCAACTATATTTTTTTTCAATTCAAGTGGCTCTTCCTTTTTCAAAACAGTGCACCTTTCTCCTTATTCAATTGGTTCCACTCAAAAGCCAAACCAACCACCCCACACTTTAACTTTTACAAAGTTCATAAATAATTCAAGTGCTCATGAGAGGTTACAATGGTTCAAATAGATGGTTAATTCCAACAAATGGGCAAGGCTTGTAATGTGGTTGCCAAAGAAACAAGATTACAGGCTCAAAGGGGTTAACTACGATACATAACAATTAGGTGGGTAAATATACATATCCGGCTCAACAAAGAAGCGCCTATATCACTTCCAAGATTGAACAAAACTACTATTTCGCTTTGCAAACACACAGGGCAAGTTCTAGGCATCAAATGCAATGCACTGAATAACGCAAAACCTTACACACACATGGCACATAACTCACTCAGGATTGGATTCATAGACACTCTAGTCAAAGCAGTTAAGCAAAGTTAAGATAATACAATTTAAGGTACTTATACAAGAGTCAAAAATTGAGCCTAAGCGTCACAACCAAAATACTCACTATTCTCAAGGCATAACAAAGTCAAGAGATGTTGCTTCAATTCAAAACTCAACACAGTGGCTCCTATTCCTAAAAAAAAAACTAACTACACCCGGTTCAAATAAAACCCTTGGAAAAGAACCGTGGTTTAAAGAAAAACCAAGGGGTA